TAAATAGAATTAACATTCGTCTTGCCGGCAGCTACGAAAAAAGCAAAAACAACAAAGCCGTGTAACCCTGCAGCCAGCCTTTCACTGGAAGCGAAAACACGACAGCAGATTTCCTCGGCAGCTCATTCATTTTGCGCAGCCTGTCTGGTGCTTAGATCCCGCGCATATCCCACCCTCACCTCACCCACTCCCACTCCCCCCCAGAAAGTCACCCATCCGCCATTAAAACCCCACCAAGCACTACCCACTTCTCCCGGGCATTTCATTTGTATTCGAAGCATTGTGTCCTGTTGAACATTCTTAATTAGGTTAAATCTACTGTGCGACGCCGGGTCTTTGGGTTGGGCCCCAGGACTTGGGTCCGGAATGGGTATGCCCCTCTACGCCACACACACACGCACACCCTTTTGCGGGCACCCGTAATGAAGTCTGTCCTTCGGGGAGGTGGCACCCGGAACGCGTGTTCGCCATTTGGCATAATTTAGTACGCCGCCGGCCGCCAAAAGACACAAAACTCATATTTGCAATTTAAATCCAGGAAATTAAACAATTACAAAGTTTATCGGCTGCAATCAACCTCAGAAGCCCTCTGGAAAATCCTCCCATGTGTGATGCTACTTATGAGCGCAACTAATGGGATACACTCAAATTTAAGTACAACTTTATTGATGTATAGTTACTTAGAGAAAAAAAAGTTAAAACACATTATACATTTTTCCGTTGATTTAACCAAATTAAATCGGAAAATAATCAAACCAATTGTTTTTATAGTAATGATAAAAGAATAGTTAGTCAGAGAAAAAAATTTAAGCCCGTTATGGATTTTTTATTTGATTAAACCAAATTAAATGGGAAAATAATCAAAACAATTGTTTGACCTGAAACTATAAAATATTAAACATTTTTTAAAGCAAATCAGTAAAAGCTTAGTTCTTTATGAATCAATGCACGGGCCTCTTTTTTTCAGTACTTTTTTGCAGAGATTTTGCGAGATTCTCGAAAAAGCCTGCCTGTCAGCCTGCTGCCAGCTCAAGCGCTTATTATAAATGAACTCAAATTTAATTAAGAGTTTGCCATATTTTGTTTCAGTCTGCCCAGGCACACGTCTCATCCCCATCAACTCGGCCATCATCATCAAGATGGTTTTGTTGTGTCTCCATTTCAGGCTTCATCACGAACAATATTAACGTCATTGTGTAGCCGGCCACTCCAGGTTCACTCCATCGCCAAAAAAATGTTGCTAACTAAAGTTGTACGCAAAATAACACAGCAAAACTTGACACGAAAACCGTAGCCGTAAACGGCGACGTAACCATAACCGTGGAGCGTGCCAGGAGCAAAGAGAAAACTTGAAATTCACTTTATTCGCGGGGCGACATCAAGAAGACGGTGCCAAAAATTCAGTGTGTATATACGTATGTATGTCAGAGTTATTTTCCTGTCCAGTTTTCCCTTTTATCAAATTGAATTTCACCCTCGGACATGGAAAGAGCCCAAGAATTTAAAATGAGGCCGATGCGATATGTTTATGATGCCACTTGTCTACCAAATACAATTTTCGTATTTCTTGCATTTAGCGCTCATATTTCAGACCTTTGCGCCTTGACAAATTTCGTCGCTTTTAAATTTACTTTGACATATTTGGCCGACATTGGGCATTTTCTATATTGAAAGGAACCCAAACACGTCCGACTTCTTTCCCTTTTGAGAGGACCGTCGGTCCGGGAAATCGAATTAAAAACTCATCTTTGCTCAATTTCTGCTTGCTTCTTGTCTCGCAACCCATGTCCAACATTTCTCACAGCCAGTCGCAGATGATTTGGGCTCGTGTCCTGCCTAAAATACCATCCATCCTTGCCAGCCTTTCAATGCTCTGTGTATGTGTTCGCTTTTTTATTGTTTTACTAGCAGAAAATCTGTTTTATTCGTACGTTTTTATTGTTGCTACGAGTAATTTAATGTGTATTGCATTTAAGCTAATATTTGAGTTGTTGCCTCTGAGTAAATGCCGCTTTTACGATCTTTTTATAGCCTTTTTATTGGCTTGCCCTGGACCTGACCTGGTCGACACTGGACAGTGGCCAAAAGCAACTGTTCGGGGGTGCTCTACTTCACTCAACTAATTTCGGGCAATTACAACCGAACAATAGGATGAGGGGCAGCCTCTTTTATTAATTATAACTTTACTCTGCCAATTTCTCCATTTATGAGGTCCTACACCGATATCAATCATCGTAAACGGCCATTCTGGGTCTGAACCCTTTAAGGACATATTAGACACACTTGGTTGGCTGCATTATGGGAATGTGTGTGGGTTTTTTGGGGGACAAAGGGGTTCTTCATTGGCTTTCTTAATCTCGACTTGGCTAGTTGGTGGGTCACATCAAAGAAGAGCCACATCGGGAATGCAAACAATGATAATCTTTTCCACAATTTATTTACCTTTCGCTGACCAAACCAATTTACGATTTTAATCAAACTCGAGTCGGAGCAGGAGCTGCCATCAAAGCAAATAGTTGAGCTGCTGTCATTTCGCAAAGGGCAAAGGGCAAAGGTCCAAAGTCAGCCGGCTAATACCCAGTGTCCAACCTAATTTGACGCTGACGAGAAACGAGAGAGAGAGAGACTCGGACAGGATGTCTGCCTGTCTGTTTTTTCGTCTGTCTGTCTGTCTTTCCGTTCGTCCGTCTAACCAACTGACTGACGGACATGCCAGTCTGTGCATAATGCTTATTACCACCATCATTTCCAGCATTTGGCAATGGCCTCTTTACTCGAGGCCTGGTCCGCTCAGGATGCAGTCCACCCGTTTGGAGTCCCATTTCCCCGAGGAATGCAGACGCACTCGACTCCCGCGCATTAGTGAAAGTGTTGTGTGGAGTGAGAGAACAAACCAGTAAACTACACATAGAGAAAAATTACTCAATTTGCGGTTGGTTAGTCTGATAGTAATCCTAATTAAAATGTTAATATCTACTTCGTCTACGATCTTTTAAGAATATGGTTCCTATTATTGTAAAAATTATAAATTCCCAACCAGCACATCCTTTTTTCATACATAACAAGCTACATAGTTTATTTTGAAAAACCCTTTTAAAGAAATTATCAACCCGTAGGACTTTTTTTTCCAGTGCCCAGATGCAACAGTTTCCACTATTTAATGGCGATCTCCGAGAAGCCCACTCTCCAAATGGTTAACACACACGCGCCCAAGTGTTCGTTGGTGTGGCGTCATGTTGGCTATTATGAATTGTGCAATTGTCGTCAGCGCCAGCGAGATGCCAGACCCCATTCTGCACCACTTTACGTTCCCTGTTTTCATTCTACATCTCCAGTTGAGCTGACAGTCAGTCAGTCAGTCACTCTAGCTCCTGCTCCAGCTTTTGCCCCCATATCACTCCTTCTGTTAGTCACTTCTAGTGCTTGGTTTCATTCCGATTGCCTGCTCATCATCCAGCAGCTCTTTGTTTGGACGAGGATGGCACACACGGCGTATACTGAATGCTGTCTGCGTTTGCGTTTGCCTTCGTTTGCCAGCATTTGCCGCCATTTTTCAACCGATGATACCCACTGTATTTTGTTGTTTTTGTTAGTGCAACTACTACTTTTGTTGCTGCTCGGCACTCCTAGTAAATGACTCTTCAACGTTTGTCGTATTTGTCTGGCAGCACTTTGAAGTGCCAAATATTTTTACATTTGTATACTGCTACTCTTGTAATTTGTTTCAACGGGCAACATTGCCACATTTCGACCCCTGCCAAATGTTCTTGCCTTTATAGAGGCACCAAAAATCGCTGCTCTACCATTTATGACATCGACACCACTCTAATTAAGCCCCCAAGTGCTCCAAATCAGTCAGTTAATCAAGCGAGCAAGTATTTAATTAAGTGCGGGAAATGGATGTGCATGGAATGGGCTTCATTAGGGTCTTTGCACCGTAAAATCTTTTACCGGCATTTCACAGGGTCCGGATTCCGGTGGGGTAATCAAGGTGTATCGCTATAACATTTATGCACTTTTCCCCGGCGCATCAAAGTCATCAAACGAAACGAACAGCCGTGGCAATTCCACGTCGCTTCATATACATATATATAGTTTATCTGAATCTGTGCGCTCTGGGTGTAAAGCTGTCAGCTAGTTTGCATTCATCAGCACCAGCGCCGGCAATTGAGTGACACCATCCTCATATATCCGATATCATCAACGGCAGCAGCATCATCATCATCGTCATCATCTGCATTCTCATCTCAAAGATTTACATGACAGCAGTTGCACTTCGTTCGCTATTCATTTGCTGGCAGTCTGGCAGTCCTTCTGATTGGTTGTATTAGTGATTGTCAGTTGGCTAAAAAGGAGGCGGATGGAGGAGGAAGGGGGCGTGGATGTCTCTCCATTTGATTGCCATTGCAACACACAAATCTCTTATGCTTATGAATATGCGCACGGTGAATAAAGTTCCATGTTTGTCACTCCGCATTGATTGAAGTGTGAGTCCTGCCATATATGTAGGTCCTCCTATTTATTACCCGAGTGCAACTATTATTGGGGTCCTCAAAAGGACTTTGAGCTCTTTGAAACCAATTTATTGATTTCTTGCTGCACAAACGAAAGGCGCCCAAAGCTACAACCTTGGGTAGAATTCCAAATACCCAATACCGAATCCCAATCAAACAGTTCCATCAGTATTGTGTATGCTGTCGACACTGGCTTAAGCATTTAAGCCATTAACACGCAAAGGTCGCCAAACGGTATTGATTATGACCGCTGGCCAGACGAAGGGGCCCTAACAAATAACAAATAACAATAACAAACAATCGGACAAAGAGTCCCTGTTTAACTAGGAGTTTGGGTTTGTCTGGGGGAAATTCACGACTTGTATAAGTAAACTGTTTTTGCTTTCACTGTGTGGCCGTCTTCGTCTGGGAAATCATTTAAGGAAGAGTAAAGGTCTATTTAAATTATAGTCAAATGGTAGCAAGCTGTCAATTAATCCGATCACATGTTATTACCATTACGGTTCACTTTAATTCCTCGTTAAGCTGCTCAAAAGAGAGTCATTAAAAAGGTTTTAATATTTTCTTAATGACTTCTGTTAGCTATTGTGAACAGTTAATTATTTAAAAGTAGAGGAAAATGTATTACAAAAAAAATGCCCTAAGGTTACCATTTAAAATACCTACTACAAAAGATATTTTATAACATTAGGATTTTGTACAAGCTAAACAAAATGAAAAATTTATCAAAGGATAAACAAAATATTTAAAGCAGTGATCTTTGGATGACTTTTCCTTCTGTGCACATTATGTACCTCTGCGTTTTTTAAAAGCCTTCTTTCTTGCTCTCTTCGAGGGTTTCAGGAATGACCTGTGGGTGTAAGACCAACATTGAGTCAATCGGAATATAGGGAATGCACTCAATCATTAAATACCATTCGCCCAGAGGAATGTAAACGTTGCACACGCAGGCGTTCACCAAATGCAGAACGCCGGCGAGTATGCCAAAGGCGCTCGATACATAGAACATGACTTCGAATTCGTTGCCACAGTGATCGATCATTGCCACCAGGAGGGTTGAACCGGTGCCAATGCAGATTAACCCGCTGGCACAGTTAAAAGTCATCGCCTGCAAAACACACTCGTTGAGCATTCATCATAAAACCGAAGCCGACACTCATCTGAATGTACGCACAATTGGATCGAGACCCACGGTGGGGCAGCAAAGCCGGAGTAGAACGAGCACCACATTCTGAAAGGCGATGGCGGGCAGTAAAAAAAGGAACATCCACACCGATATCCCGTACTCCTGTCCTCGCACACAATGACTGGATAGGATTCGGATAACAAGCAACAGGGCCAAAACCTCCAGTACCTATTAGGCAAAATAAGTCGTTTTACTGGCCTGTTACTTATTGGAAGATTACACTTATTATCACCGCCGTTAGCAACTGCAGCACAAAGTTTACCATACGAAAGGGGAAGCTCATAATGGTAACCAGAAATTTTGTTAAGCTCCTTGACACTAAAATCAAATTTTCCTACTCAAACCGATTTGTATTTCGTCGTTTATGCTTTGATTTTTATAAATGTAAATGTTTAACCTCTAACTTCTCTTTGTTATCATACCAGCTATCGATAGACATTAATGTGACTGAGCTCATCTAAAAAATAATTGTTAAGCTCTTGGGCACACTTATTTCTTTTAAATCTTTTTCCCTTTAGTGGATATAACTTTAAAATGAATAAAATGTATCGGAAAATCTACCTATCTTCATTGCTTATAAGCATCGAAATCTAGAATATTTAATTTTTTTACGAGCTGCTAATTTCGGTTTGCCGAAGTTTGCTTCCTTTCTTTTTTCTTTTTCCTTTTTTCATTTTGTTTTGGCTTCGCTAATCTAATTGGCCTCGATAGCGCTTGTTGAGTGGAGTCGTTGCCCTGCCACGCATTTGTTGCTTTGTTTGCACTAATTTCATTACTTGCGGAATGTGGCGATGATTTCATGCAATTTAAAGCCACATTTTTCAGTGGCAAAGTATTTAGCATAGTACCTGATCGGACCGACTGGAACTCGGGGCCCAGAGCCCAAGAGCCGTCCCATAACCAGCTAGAGTCGTTGAGCTGGCACCAGGCAACCCACCCACTCCAGGCTTTTATAATAATTGCCTGTTGACACGGGATGGCCGAGGGGCAATGTTAGAACCCACGGAAAAATGGGGTTTTTCGGAATGCCGACTGGGATCGAGCAATGGGAATGCCGTTGATAAATGAAATTTTCAAAACGTGAACCAACAAAGGGGGACAAAAAACAAACGAAAGCCAAGCCGAACAGGACTGAACACAAAACAAGCGGAAAAATGGGCGGCAAATATAATTTAATTTGTTCGCATTTCAAAAGGTTCTCAGCCCTTTTTCTCTGTCCTTTTTATATATCCGAAACGAGGTTTGGTTTAGAGTTGATTGAGCAAAACACTTAATTTATTAAAAAAAATCATTGCTTTTGATCGATACTTTTGCAGGTCAATGGCGAAACACTTTTCCAAATGACATAAATTTTGTCAGCTTTGTTGCGACAATTGCATATTAGCCGAACATGACAACGTTTCGCCTTTTCCAGTAAAATTTATGGAAAATGTTGCAGAGACAAAAAACTTGAGAGAGATGCAAAGTGAAGTGAACTCCCCAAAGCAGCCAAAAAGAAGTGGAGGAACAGAAACACGAGAAGAGAAATGTTCTCGAATAAACAACAGCGGAAATGTAGGCTATGATTTGCTTACTTGCTGTGAAGAGGGGCCGTTTTGCCAGGGGAGTTGGACCAATGACAAGGGCGGTGTGGCAAAAGTTCTCTGAGTCAGGGAGCTGGCGTAACATAAATCAAATGCATGTAAAATTTTCGTACTTTCCGCACACATATCCTGATCCTGTGCAAGTGCATTGGGCAGGCCCAAAGCAGGACCACCGGTGGAGCAAGGACGAAGCAGGAAGGACGGTATATTGGTGGGCGGTGCGACTGCAAGTGTGAGTGGGAGTGCGTTGTGTTTTGTGCACATCCGTTAACTTTGTCATTTTTGCTCATTTCCTTCCGGCATGTGCAAGAAAACTGCAGCCAGCAGCAGCAGGGGCAAACGAAATGATTCCCAGCAGCGCTCCACTGTGCCACTGAGCCACCGAGCCACTGAGCCACTGACAAGCCTTAAGCCGTAAGAAAGCCAACCGAACTACCAACACAAGGCTGACTGGCGAAACAAAAGCAATGCGGAAAGCGGCAATAAGTTGAGGGCATAACTTTCAATGCCTTCAAGAACACTCTCCAGTGGCGTACCAGGGAAGGGTTGTTTTTGGGTGTGGAATTTCAGCTTACATTTCTGCTCACGTACTTATTTTCTCAATTTTTAATGGCGATCACCTAAAAGATTTATATTTTAATAGACACAGTTTTTTCGTTGTACAAACACTAGCATTTTATACTAAAACTAATTTAACGATCAATTTCATTTATGTGGTCTAACGTATTGCTTAAAATATTTATAAATACTCATAGGCCAATAGTATAGACAACCCAAAAAAATTAAAATATTTTTAATTTGGTGGATGCTTTTTAAAACGCATGCTATTGATTTTTTAGTTGATTGGTAAAAAATACATCAGGACTACATGGGCCTTATATTTTTGGGAAAACCCCCTACTTAAAACTCCTACGCCTCTGACAGGAGGGGTGAGAGCACAGAGCATTTTGCATGAAATTAGAGTCGTAAGACACAACGAGAAGCGGGCAAAAAGTCTTGGGTCTATAACTTGCTTGTTGGAATTTAATTATTTTGCAGTTGCTGTTTCAGTGGTGCAACTTGGTCACGGGGGTCTTATTTTTTGTACATTACACACCCCTCTTTTTGCTCACCCCTTTGCCGGGAATCATGTGCCAAAAATAGCAAAACTTTGCTGAAATTTTCATTCGCATTTATTGTGTTGACATGCTGCCACACTGCGTATACGTATCCTTGATGCAGCCAAACAATTTATTTATTTAAGTTGAGTTGAGTAGCAAGGAGCTGGGGAAAGCGAGAAAACTTTTTGCCGTATGTTTGCGTTTGAGAACTGGAAAATAAAAATATTTGTACACTTTCCGTTGTTTGCAGTTGCTCGTATCCGATTAGATGTCCTGCCGCCTCAAAGGGGCAAAGTGAGCGGATTGGACCAGAACCAAAGTTAATCCCCCTGCCACCTGCTTTGCCACCGAGCATATGCATTCAAAGTCAAAGCCACATTAATTAGCATGCTTAGGTGACTTTTATTAAAAACCAATTAAAACCACACACTCGCACTCACACGGACACAAAGTAAAGTTGATAATTAAATGAATCTGTGTGAGTGGCTTTGAGTTCAAAGTTGGCAGCCAGCTAAAACTCTGTGAACATAATTTGTTCTTTATTTTCTCTGTGTGAGGACTTGGTATAATATCACATGCGAAACGGTGGCATTTTAAAAATGTGCATTCCAAAAGGATAAAAATAAAAAAACGTAAATAACATTATTAACGTTAAATTTAACTTTTGAATTTTGTTTGCCACTACCAGACGGCGTTGAAAGGACTGAAAAAACGAAAAGGAGTAACTTTTCAAAGTGCCTGAAAGTATATTAAAACAGAGACCGGAAGTCAAGACCAAAGGCTTGTTTATGTTTACAGTAATTTGCGGCTCACTCTTAAAATATAATCAAAGACTTCAAATAAAGCCACAGAGAGTTGGTCCTAAATCGAGCATCTTACCTAGTCGATGTCTGTGCGACTGGGCGAATGTAGAGGGATTTTCCCAGATTTTTTTCCGCACATCTTTTTCATCCCCGCCCACTCGTATTTGTCAAGTTGCAAGCGTATGCGTGACACGTAGTAAATTAAATGTGAAACTCTGTAGCAGAGTGTAGCTAACTGAGAGTTTAGTGTTTGTGTATGTGTAGCTGGGTTTGAGTGGCTACAAAGAATGCTGTTGAGCATAGCTATAGCTACATATATGCCCCTACCCCTGTCCCGGCTATAAATCATCAAAGTTCAACGTTTGCCATTTTGTCTACAATGTGTGTTCGAAAGAGTGTGTGTGTGTGTGCATGAGTGTTTGTACCCAAATGTGTTTGCTTTGCAATTTCCTTTTATTTATTTAAAGTTCTTTAGCAAACATTGCGCACCCACTCTTTCTCCCGCTGCCAGGCAGCAATGTTCACATTAAGTTTTCTGCCAAAAGTTTTAACAAGTAATCTTTTAATTAAGTGCCAGCCATCCTCAGACATCTCCTTAGACACTCTGGCATTCAGAAATCCTAGAATTATGAGAGCAACAGGAAGAAGGCGGGGAAAAACGCACAAATCTAATTTGATTAATGGTCAAATGCTGAGCTTAATTAGTGGAAACAGCAGCGAAAAACGCGCCAAGCCAACTGGAATCGGCATTAATGGTTCCAACAAATACAGGGAGAATAAGAAATTAAATAAATAACCACAAAAGAACAACTAATTGCACCACAAACGACAATGGGAAACAACCAGTGAAAAGGAAGAAAAAAGAGAAAAAGAAAAAACTGAAAATATTTCGCAACTAATAAAAACATTGCGGCGTACTAAATCAACTGGAAAACTGCAAAACACATCGAAACAAAGGTGAGCGAGAAAAGCGTAGAAACGTATAAAAAAGCTATAGAAGACGACATTATACCCAGTTATACCCATTAAAAAAGGGTTTTAAAATGTATTAATTTTTGTGTATAAACATGGTAATGATAAATTATAACTTATCGACAATCTTTAAATAAGTATTCCAATATTGTATTTTTAAATAAAGAAATAGATAATTATAAATTAAGAAATATATATATAAATAAATACACCGACTTTACCTTTTATAATTATATAGACTTAAGTACTTTTTATTAATAATCTATTTTCTTAAAATGTTCACTTACATAATATCCCCTGCTCTCCACCAATGCCGGGTATAAAAAGGAAACCAGGTAGAGGAAGGTGAAAATAAATGAGAAAGATGGTAAATAGTTTCCCCAAGGGGAAACAGAAATAATGGCAAGTGACATTTGACATTAGTTTTCTTGCGCCATGAACATTTATTTTTTTTGCAGCGGCCTTAATTAAAGAGATTGTCATGAATTATAATTGCAGCACTTAAGCCAAGCGATGCTATAAATGCATATATGCAACGATCCATTCACTTAAATTGGTTGGTTTAGTTCTTTTCATTCACACATTTTCCTTCTCAACTGAAGTCAATGTACCCTTTGCATGGTGTTTTCCCTTTTTTTCCATTCTTAAGCATCGGATCGCATTTCATACAATTGCGAATCGGAGTTTACATTGTCGGGAGAGTCTTTTTTATCGTCTAGTAATTGGACTCCACTTTCAATTGCTGTGCTCTCCAGCGCCTCTTGAGTTTTCAACCTTAATTGCACTTTAGCAACGTTTCAGGCTTGTTTGTGTTTGACCAAATTTCATTGCTGCTACTGCCGCTCCCACTTGATCGATTGATTGATTGATTGATTGATTGTTTGGCTGATTGTTGTTCAAGTGCCCTGGCCAAAGGAGAGAAATATTTGCATAGATTTAACTAATTGCCGGACAAACGAGATTGTCGTTCCATTTCGGCTTAAATCAGTCACTTGACCAAATATTTCTCAATCTTCTTTTTTTAAGTAAGCACAAAGAGTTTAAAATTTGTTATTAGCATGATAATCCTAAGCCAAATTGGCAAGAGATCAAAAGCTAAGCGACAATCATAATTAAGTTTCCCGTCAAACGATTTCAATTAGCAGGAATAACAACATCGTTACAGCTGGTCAAATCAGCCAATCTAACGACCTTTTTGGTTGAAAGTGCAAACACGAGATGAAACTTGTGCAAAGTTTAGCGATAGCTGGGGAATCACCAGCTGCCCCTAATTAAAGCCGAAAACCTCGGCAATCTCTAGTAAAAAGCGGCGAGGATAAGGGGAAAGTTCTAGCGAAGCTAAACCACTTTTCCAAGATAAACGACACTTTTGGCAATTTATTTGGGCCAGCTCTCAACACTTTTTGGCCAGCACATTTTTGGGTTATTTTCGAGTATACTTTGGAGGCCACATAACATTTCAATTTCCTAGCCCATGAATAATGGCAAATGTCCAAGAGCTGCTGGCCGTGCAAGTTGCCATTTTTGAGCCAGGAAATTAGAAAACCAAGCCAAATCGAAGGTCTGTGGCCAAATTCTGTGGCCGACTAATTGAGCTAATTGCTAAAAAAAATGGCTGTACATATTTAAGCAGAATTTCCCTAGGGCATTTCATAGACAAAACAAAGATTGATTTTGAATTTCTCATCAATTGTCCATCATTCAATTAATTATTGGGGAGGGGCTTTAGAGTATTCATATCCAATATTAGCGACTTTATTAAATGATATTTCCTTGTAAGCTGACAGCTTCGCTCAGTAACACTTTGGTTTGGCTCGATGACAAGCCAGACACTGACATGAATATTCACTTTTGAGCAAACACACACGGATGGATTTGCAGACACTTAATACGGAAGCATGTTAATTCATACCTTTTCAAGTCCCCGTTCCCCGTATTTGTCAGTCACAACCGTCAGAACCACTGATGTATCAACATAGATATGAATGCATATTTGTAGTAAATTTAAACGAAACTCAATACTCATTTAATTTTGGGCTGAATATTAAATGAAGGCCTCTTCATTATGTCCCCCTTTGCATGTCGGAAATGGTGTTATAATTGATATAAAAAATAAATAAATTAACGAAAATTTAATTACCTGATGGCTATTTGTTTTGGCCGACGTCGGTTTTAATTGCTATCGATGCGACAATGGCGACGACAAGGGCATGTGGCCTAAAAACGACAAAAGGGTTGAATTGCAGTATAATTATTAAATAAATAATAGAGTAAAAATGTGCGAGCGATGGGCATGTTATGCATGAAAATAAATATTTGGGGTCAAGAAAAATTACAATTCAATCAGAAGGCAGTGTGAAAACGCGGCGGACCAACGACGACCGCATCCGCAATCGCTAAAAATTAATTTCAATTTTATTGCAGCGCAGGATGAAGGATAGCGTAATGCAGGAGAGTGAGGAGGTGTATAAGCCCCGCCGAGGTGAGGAAAACACCGATGCAGAGTGAAATATGCAGATCAACTCGGCTGTCAAGAGGCGAGCGCGGAGTGAAGTGGAGTGTGTATCCAGCAAAAGCCAAACATTTATGAAAATGCAAAAGCGTTTTTAAGGTTTACCCCAGGTAAGCTGCTGCAGCAACAACGCCAGCAGCTGCAGAGCGATATTAATGTGAATGGCTGCCAAGCAACAACATAAAAAAACACCAAACTAAACTGGCAGCAACTGCAGGGGGATGCCAAAAAAACAGAGCATGAATTGCGGTTTAAACATTGAATTATGAATATTTCTTTACCTCGACCCCGACCTGGATTTCCCGGCTACCAGAGAACATTTATCATCCTGCCAGCCGAGATTCTGATTAAAAGCGAGAAATGTTTCGTAATAATCCCACAGCCAAACCAAACGAAACCAAACCAAGGTAGTGTCTTCCTCGCCAAATGCTAAAATCGCAACTCACAAAATGTACTCATCAAAATTGCAAAAGGCCCCGTCGAAAAATCTATGCCATGAGTTAAATCTTGTTCGAAAACGAGAAATGCGCATTTTCCTGCTTTGTTTAGATGAATGATTATATATAATGAAGCGGAGGAAATTTGCATTCAATTTGTAAAGCAATTCACTTGCTTCTTATGCTAAATGGCAATGGCATTATATAAATTAGACAAAAGCGAAAACTTTTCGAGCGGCGAGAGTTGTATCCTCCTACTATAAGCTCAACCCGATATCAGGAACCCCAGCCTCGGGCACTATAATTGGCCCAACTTTTGCTTGGTTAGCATGAAAACTCATTTATTTCAGCGCAATCAACACATATACACTGACGGACCAGCGGACTCAAAGTGGAAGTTACGGCAATTAGCTGGCTCAACTGAATGGAGCCGAAAGAATTGGGCAACAGTCCAGAGTCCAAACAGTCGTAGCCTGGCAACGGCGCAGAAAAAAGAGAAAGTGGGACTCAAGCCGATTAAAAGTATCCCATGAAAGGTTGTTTATCTTTTTGCTGCATAAAAGTTGGACACAAAGAAAATGTTAAAATATCAATTATAAATATCAATTAATAGCTTAAATAGCCTTAAGTTATAAGTAAAAAACAATCAATAAAAATTTAGTAGACCTCGGTCAACAATAATAAATACCAAATCCAAAAATTTCCACAATTAATAATGAATCACATTTGTTTGCCCTTTCAAAAAATGTATATACAGAATTAAACTAATTATGTTTATGTTCTAATTAATACGTTTCTATGCGCATATGTCAAAAGTAAAAGTAATAAAGTATATTCTTCAGGACAAAATGTAATTAGGGAAATATTAAAAAAAAATGTGGTGTTGTCTGCCGAAGTATCTTTAATCAAGAATTCCAAATATAAAACGGAAATGTAATTAGCTTACTGTTCCAAATATTTAAATGATGTCAATATTTTCCTTTCCCCATTCATTTTGCAATTAGCACCGGCTGAAAGTTTTCTCACAGCACTTTTCTTTTTGCTGAATATTTATAAATATTTGGGATATCAACATTATTGATTTATTGAATTTTGTCCATTTTTCAATAGCTGACTGTCCAAACTCATTAGGGTCTTTTCATATATTTTTATATAAGGAGGCTACATGCTGCATTGTAGTCCTTTGTTTTCTTTTCGGAAAATGAATTTGTCATTTAATTAAGTCGGCAGACAGAAAATAATTTGCGCAATTTATGCACGACAGCAATTTGCATAATGCAGCGCAACAAATCACAAATCAAATGTTTATTAATGCCCAGACATGGACTGAAATCCACAACCAGGACACATTCCAATCCATATCCATATCGTTTTGCATTTTGAAAACACGCTTCGCTGGCTTGTCCTCATGAATTATGGGAAAACAACTCAATCAAAATGCAAACTGTCAAAACAGGGCTGTTGGGAAAATACAAAAAAAAAATATAAACAAACAGCTAGTAACAAATGAATTAGCCATATCTATGCCCCGACCCATGAGAGTGTGAGTGACGGCGTGATAACGCGTTATTACACTATAAAATCATTAATATGGCGGCTCTAATGCCGCGGATATGTAAATGCAGGACCTGACACGCGAAACGCTTATAAAAAAATATAGACAACGAGCCCAAAAATGCGGCATTAGCTGCCTATAGTCGAGATCCTTTGACAACGCCTACCATTTGAGCCCATTACCCAACACTTTGGCCATAAAGTCGTTGAGTGTGTGCGCCACTGCCAAGGCAACGAAATCTATTAGTTTCCCGAGGCTTGGCGGAAATTCCAGCCAAGTAAGAGAGCTGCGACAATTCCGTAAATTTGATATGCGCAATTTGTTGGCAAACGAGGACGCAGAGACACAGGACAAAGGAGTCGAAGAGTTTTCATAGAACTACCGAACCGCCTGGCAACCTGTTGCCGCTTGTTACGCACTTTTATGACGCCAGCGGGTGGGCTTCGAGTGGATTGCGTGAGGGTTCCTTATCCCAACCTTGGGAAAAAGCCACCTCATAGTAGACCTCATTAAAGGTAATATGCCACATGACGCGCTGATGGAACTCTCACACGTTCTTTCCAGATTGCTATAACATAATCTGTAGTCAGACTATCGAATTCAGTTTTAGTGGCTACTTCCTTTAGCACCTTAAATTAGCAAATACCTGATATTAGCGATTGTTTTTAACTATCAAAACATATTATTAGTTAATTTTTAAAATAACAAGAAATGCAGCAATCTTAGACAATCAAAAATTTACATAGCCGTGCAGCTATTAGAAAAGAATATATTCTCTGAAACGATTTCGCTTTTTATGTGTATATTTATATTATGCTCGTATGACAGCAGTCGTTTGTATTTTATAAAATTAAGCCCGTAATTCTGATACCTTTAAGAAACCACTATGTAAGCCATCCTATCTTAAATTTAAATATAAATTCTTGCCATTGCTTTTTTGAAATGCGATATGTTTATTTTAGTTTTATTTTGTACGTTTTCCAACATTTGATATGCAGAGAAAAAGTGCATAAGTTTGTCCAAGGCCCCCGATATACTTATAGTTTATACTTTGGCAAATCTCAGTGCAAGACAAAAGTAGCCAACTTGACTTGGAAACTTTTTTTTGCTGTTTCTGTTGCAGCTTTTGGCATTTCTTATGCAGCTGATTGCATTTGGCCAAGAGCAGCGGCAACTACAGCAACAGCAACAGCAACAACAACAAAAACAACTGTAGCTTGCAATTGAATTTTATAACAAACAATTTTACGCTTTAAGCACACTAGAATTTCCTTTTGTTGTAGCTACCAATGAGGCTGCTGCCTTGAAGTGCTCGGAGTGCGTCATTGACTTTGCCTCTGGCCAAAGGCACTTCTCTGCTTTTTTCCTATTTATCGTTATTTACCATTAGCTGACTTTCACCCCACCACCCCCCTATTCCACCATTTTCTGCACGGACCTGACTTTCCTCGGACTCTGTAACGACCACAATAAGCATTCTGGCCCAGCAACTTGCTCTCGCCTTTATTTTCTGCGGCTTCCTCTTTTGCAGCCTTGAGGGTAATCGGGCCCCATAAGCAGGAACAAAGTTTAATAAAAAATAGTAGAACAAAAACAAAATCAATTCACCTACCAAGCAATTATGGCACAGCAAGTTGTAAAAGTAAAAACTTATTTAAATGGCTCTTAATTTAATTAAGTTTTGGCTTATGCAACTCAATGCAGCGCAAACGAAAATAATATTAATGGCATTGAAGAAAATTGTGTAGTTCAGGCACGTTTTAAATATAGATTCCACCTATGATTTAATACTGATATCAAGCAATTTACTCGTATCTAGCTGTTTTTAAAATTCTATTTTGATTTACTAGTTGAACTGTTTTTCAAAGCACTACTCTCATAAACAATTTAAAGCTTTTTAATAATGTTATGAATAAACAATTTGATATAAAAAATATACGAGAAATTTACTACATTTTCTGCGGGCAACACTCAAGTATTAAACATTTTTATGAAACTAAAGCTTATGCAATTTGTCAGATTTTTATTTTTAAACGATTTTCTTTCTGAATTAAATATTGTGTGTGGATTTATGACATTAGCATTTTTTGCAGGCCGAGATACAAGACAAAGTTGGCACTCCCGGGCCATTCTAATCCCATTCCATCCCCAAGTGTATAATTATTCTATCTGTCGCATATGCATGAGATCAGCTAAAAGGCATGGAACACGCCCCCATGTCGCCATCTGGCCTTATGTATATGTATTCATATGCGTATGCCGAACTTCTTGGTCTTCCCATTCCTCAGCTTCATTAGCAACTTTGTGCGTATTCATTAGGAAGCAGCAACAGGGGGCCATGAAGCCCCCCAAAATCCCCCTTCGTTTTCGCACACCAAAGCCCACAGCTGCGACTGGTTGATAAAAGATTTATGCGAGCACTGATAACCCGACAAAACGCCCACATCCATAGACATACTGCTAGGATCCTGGATAAATAAACCAAAAAATAAAGATAAAACAAAAAATACAAAAAGCCGAAAATTTCTATGGGAAAAAGTCTCAAGTCGGGTAGCCAAATAAAAAAAAACGAAAATTAAAGCACATAAAGGCAACTGCTTGATTTGGCATTCAACACAAAAAGCGACGTCGTCAGCTGGGGTTCCTCCATGCAAAAGCGGCCTGTCTGTCTAACAGACTGAGCGGTTTTGAACCCCCAAAAAAAAAAAGTAAA